CCAGTTTTCCACTCTTGTTGGTTCTCAGGCAGCCTTATCTTGTACATTTTGCATTCCCAGTTGCTGTCCACTATTCTTCTCCTGTTCTCTCCAATTTATTCTGATCCTTCCTTCTGAACTGATCCTCTTGTCCTTCTACCAATGCCTGAGTCAAATTTTGTTGTGGTTTTCTTGTTCTTCCACAGGTTCTGTTCAAGCTGTTGACTTCATCTGTATTGTTTCATCTTTCTTCTCCTTCTTGCCTATTGTCATCATCGTTCAAATGTTTCCGCCTTCAGTGGTTCCTGCACTCTCTTTTAATGTATTTCATTCCTCTATCCCAACCAGACCTTTCTTCCTAACACTTCAGTATCAAGATGAGGAGACAATGTATGGTCTAATCATGCCCTAATCCCATTACTTGTGGCTCACCAACCGATTGTGTGGAAGTGCTTGGTTGGCCATTTTTGTATTCTGCTCATCCCTGTGACACTTGGGTCTCTTTCATCTTGGGTATAGAGTATATCCTGGTCGAGACAAGATGGAGTTTCTCATCAGGTGTCACATGTGTGGGCTTTCGTTTTGGGCACTTTCTGAAGAGAGCTCATCTAACTCTTCCACTACTTCAACATGATATTCTAGCAGTTCTGCGTGAAGAGGTGAGGTATTGTTGTTTAATATACTGAAAATGTATTTCTGATAAATACTAACCTCATCACACATTCCCACCCAGCCTCCCCACTTCTGGTGCACCTGTTTTTTTCTTGCCTCATCTAAGAATGAAGTTATCTGGATTGCAAATGCTTAAGGGGAGTTGCTGCACATGATGACATCAGCATGCACCAGCATAGTTCACATTAAACGCATGAACTTAGATTGGAGTTAGCTTGATGGTAGTGATATGCAAATCTCTTATGCAGACAAGTAAGGAATGTAGCAATTCTGTATGTGGAGGTATCTATTGAAAATACATTGTCAGTATAGGGAAATCTTAGCTTTATGAACCAGTCTCCTCTTTATATATTGTGTTCATTTATTTTCTATAAAACAAAGACCAAATTTAGCATAGGGGTTTGAATTAGAAAAATATATTATTGTTGTTTGATTAAGTAAAACGATAGAAATATTAATTTTCAAAAAGAAAATTTTTTTAGTTTGAAACATCCAGTTTTATATAGATCTTCCATTGGTGACTGTTATTTAAGCTTTCACATTTACAGAAAACAACAGTCTCTTGATGAGACTGTCTACACAAAGAAAGGTTATTAAAGTTCTTCTGAGTTGTCAGAAGTATTTTGATTTAAATATTGTCTGGCTTCTGATATTTTTATTTATTTTAATACCACCATTCTTGTACCTTGACTTTGGTCTGTGACTAAACTCCTGTGAAGCTGTAAAGAGTACTAACTAGGCAATTTAATATCAAGGGAAGGCCTAGTGTTTGTCCTTTTCCCTCCTCCCTCCCTGTGAGTGCTGTGACAAGCCATTTTGGTGATTTTTCACCCTTTACCACTTTGTGGTTACCCTGCCATAGTTATAGCTCTGAAATCAAATACTTAATTAGATACTTCTTGAACCAGTTAATTTTCTTATTTCCTGCAGCTTTAGATTTTTAGAATATAATATTTGATCTTTCATTTAGATCCTGCTCATTCATAATAGGTTTTAGCATTTACTTACTGGGGAACATGATCAAAATTGACAAGAAAGCAACTCTTAACTGTTCAGTATTTATTTCACTTGAGAAAGAAGTAGTTATTTCAATTAAGAATCTTATTTAAGAAAATCATACAAATACGATTTGGCACATTGGTATATTTATATTTTAAAATCACAATGTTTCACATGATGATAGTCAAAGTGGTAGACTGATCTGATAATGCCATTAAAGTTTACTTTTGAAAAGTAATGGAAGTACTATAACTTATTCGTTTGATATGTGAAAAACGTCTTTCATTCTTTCATTTTTGTTTGACACTGTTAACTTGAACTAAATTTGATACTCTATATTTAGTTGTAACTATTTCTTAACTAGTATTGCAAATGTCTTAACTCTTTCACTTTCATGATTATAGATAAATAACTCTCCCAGTGCCAGTTTAATTTTTGTAACACAATAAAAAAAAATGAAAAGACGTGATTTTTGAATATTTTATTACTTATCTGAAACTTAAAAATAGTAAACTGTGGAAAGATTGAAGCACTTCATAGTGGTACAAAGTTCCAAACTTAGGAGGCAGTACTTTAGTGTGGAGACATATACGTGCCCAATACCCATGACTGTGAGAGTTACTGTACACCATCATGTTGATTTTTTACTAATGCATTTATCAAACATTGTACTTAAAATTGATTGTTTTTAAAGTGTAAAAAATATTTTTCACACTATTACTGCATTTTTGATTGAACAGTTCTAGCACTCATTTCACAACTGACAAACTGGAATTCCCACACCTTTAGCTGAAACTTAGCAACAATTCTCAGAACATTTTAAATACCAGACTATTTAGTTAACTTTGTTTTGTAATTATTTTTCCTTAGGTTTGTTATTTCTTAAGGTTACACCTTGATCTGTGTTTTAAAAAATGCAGCATCTTTGCTAAATTTATAAGGAAGACCCTAGTACTTGATTTTGTTAATGCATCCTGAGAGTTTTTCTTTTCGTTTTTGTGATAGTTTTATATGACAGGAAATTTTCAACATAAAGAAAAAGCCTTTCTTATATTATTTGAAGTGACTGTTCAATCTGACATTGCCTTTAATCATAAGTTAATAACATTTTTTGTTTTAAAATATGTTCATTTTCAAGATAGCATCTAGAAAAAATGGATTGATCGAACACAGCTTCCTAAATGCCAATTACACAATTGATCTTAATGGACCACAGTATAAACTAGGAGTAATATAAAATTTTGAAGTTATCCAATGGCTCAGCAGTAAGTCTGAGTGCCTATAATGCTAAAAGTTGGTTTTCAATATCCATGTTGGGCAGAGCACAGATAGCCAGTGTATAGCTTTGTGTTTAACAACAAACAAGTTATCCAAAAACTGAAAAGTTAGGAAAAACAAATAATGCTTTCTCACTGTTCAAATTTAATAATTCCAAAATTGATCTATACTCTAAAATAATCACTACTTTAGTATTGCTATTTTTGTAACATGACAAAAAAAATGTTGTAGCAGTAGCATATAAAAGCTGAAATACTTAGTACTTAATGAACTTGTTAATTACTTCCTTTTTTTTTTCTTGGGATAAAACAGTTAATGACATTCAGGATACTTCGTTTGAAAAAAAAAAGGGAAGCAGCCAACCATGAATTTTAATAGTTATTCCAGTAAAAGATTTTAACTAAAAATTTACTTTTGTGACTATTTTTTGTTCAGTTTGAGGACTGGAACTATTAATTGCACATTTGCTGTAGAGTTTTGGATTTAATGGACTGCTCCTGCCTGTTTCTAGAGTAGGATAACATGAAGGCCCTAGTATAAAAGCCAAAAGATCATCCCTCTCTAGAAACAGGCAAGAGCAGTCCATTAAAACCAAAACTCTACTAAAGTAGTAAATTTTGATACTTTTTTTACCAGTTTTAACAATATTACTTTCTCTGTTCTCTCTCTATTCTAATTTTTGTAATCCTTGTGTCCTACATTTAAAGCCAAATTGTAATAACCTTAGAAATTTATCTTATAAATAAAAAGTTAAATTGAATCTCACCTAAAATAGTTATTTTCACCAAAAAACTTTATATTAAAATTTGGTTGGATAAAATGATCAAACTTAAGTTTTTCAATTCACCTTTTACAGAGCTTCATGTTCAAAAAATGGACAGAGTCTGTAAACAGGCCCTGTCAAACAGACCTTGGAAGCTGGTAGACTTTTTGTTTTTTCAGTTGTGTAGTTTCTAAGAGATTTGAATACTCTAGAGGATAAGTAGGTATGCAGCAAATATTAAAGTGGCACAACTTAGTCTTGGTTAAAGTTTTTGAAATACAACTTGAAAGTGTCAGTCAACAAATCTGTTATCTTAAACTGATGGCCAGGTGGTTAGGGCGATCAACTCGCAATCTGAGAGTCAAGGGTTCGAATCTCTGTCCCACCAAACGTGATTGCCCTTTCAGATGTGGGAGCATTATAATGTGACAGTCAATCCTGTTATTCATTGGTGAAAGAGTAGCCCAAGAATTGGCAGTGGGTGCTGATGACTAGCTGCCTTCCCTCTAGTCTTTTACTGCTAAATTAGGGACGGCTAATGCAGATAGCCCTTGTATAGCTTTGCATGAAATTCAAAAACAAACAAACAAACTTGTAAAGAATTCTCACATTTACTTTGAATATTTCCAGTGAAATGTTTATAATTAAGTATATGATACACAGACAAAAATATACTTCTCACTTACCAGATCACTTGGGGTGGTCAAGAGACCAATCAAAGCAGTGTATGTATGAATAGGAGTGAGATCACTGAAGGTTATAGTTACTGTGTTTTCATTGAAACAGAAATTTGTGACATGATCTGACACAAGGCTATTTCCAGTAAATGGAATAATACAATGTTCTTCTTCTTTCTGATTATCTTCTGTGACATACAAAAGTAGCAGGCATCATGTCATTTACTGAAGGAGGGGTGTAAAAAAAGTAATCATGAAATAGCATTTAAAATTCTTAAAACTGACAAGAATTTTTTGAAGAGGAATAAAAGCATTTAATCAATCCATATTGTGCTAAATACAAATTGATTTCATACACTTCATAACCAGATGATGATAATTTTAACAATATTACTTGGTGTGTGCATCTGTTAATATTTCATTAAACCTCCAAAACAAATATTTTTTGTAATTTTACTCTAAAATAGTACAGGAACATTAACAATCAAAATTTATTTTTCTACTTTAATTTGAATCTTAAAATGTAATGTTTAATAATGTCTACATATTTGGAATTTGTTCATTTGTCACTACCTGTTTGTATTTGTTTGCAAGTTAATTTTAATATTTAAATAGTATATCATTAGTTCAGGATTTTTCAAAAGGTTGGTTCAAATGACACTCATAATTGTGAATAAAATCATGTTAATGAATATTTAATACTTTGTTATAAATGCTTGAATTGGAGATCTTTATACAAAGAAATTAGAATTTAAATATTGAGCTAGAATTTATTCTTTTCAGCAAACATTTTATAACATCAGCCAAGTTATTATGAGTTAGTATTTGCTTTTTCTTATCTTAAAAAGTGTCATTATTTAATCATGCTTTGTTTCTTTTCAGGAACGCTATGGTTACTGAGAGAATTTTAAGAATACTACTGCTGCCAAGGAGAGTTATGATTTAAAAAAAAAAGATATAATCCCTATTAATTTTATGTCAACATTAAGAATATGGGTGCACATTAGAGGATTTATAATGCTTATCCATAAACCTCAACCTTTTTATTACTATTATTATTATGGTTTTCAGACAAAGGATGTCATAATTTGTTACTCTGAAACTGAAGCTTCTTTATTGCAAACTATTGGTTGCATTATTTGCCATTTTTCTGAAATAAATATGTATTTTTAATAGGGTGATTAAATATTTTGATGACATTATAAAGATGGTTTATGTTGAAAGTTATTTTATTAAATTACTTATTTAAAACTTAAAACATTCTTCTAAATTTATGAAAAATACTGATAATTTTTCTCAAATTATAATAAAGAATTTTTGCTTAGAGATGTTTGGTGAGCTAAACATTATTTTAAAATAGTTTATATATGATAATGTTCAGTTTTATAATAATATTTAAAATTTATTAAAAAAACATATAAACAGTGCAGTTATGAACCTTTTTTTTTCTTTTCTTGCATTTATTATTCCAGAAAAGTATTTGGACCTAATTAAGACTACAAAAAAATTACTTAAACAGGTCAGAATTTGAGAAACCAGTTTTTATTTTTCATTCCATATCAGTATCTTGTTTTCACATATTTTCCTTCTTCATAGGAAAGCTTACCCTGCTTTTTCTTTCTGATTTTCAGAAACTACTGTTGTGAAAATATGATCATAAGCTGTCAGTTGAAATTTGAGTTTGTTATAAATACCTGGTTTATACTAAACTTATCTTTTGTGAAAATATTGTACATAAATTAGTTCAGTAACATTGTATTTTGTATATAAAATCTGGAAAAGAAGGATACTGAGAAATTTTTAAGCTCCTTGCAAAGTTAGGTTGATAATCTATATTGCTGACTGCATAGGATCAACAATGGATTTATGCAGGTTTGAAAATATTGTTAACAGTTTATAATTTTTAGTGTTTGCCATTGTTTTTTCTGATTTTCATTATTCTCTTTATATAATTTCCTGTGGCTTTTGGATCAGGACAACTAAATTTATTTGAAAAAATACATAAAATTCTTTGTGCTATGATTGTGTCAAATTTCTTGATGTAATAGAATGATTTGAAACATTGTATTTTTATTCTTTTTTTTTATGGGATACATTACATTATAGGGTATTCAGGTCATTCATATTAATTGGAAAATGGATAGGTGATAAAGGTAGTATATTGAAGATCATTTTGTTAGAATAAACCTTTAAGTAAAGCCACTGTGGTTTCAGTACAGTTGCTAAATTTATCAAATTTTCAGTTTACTGTATGTTTAAGTCATAAATAAATGTCATATTGAACTTACTTTTAGATTCATTGTCATGCTGAATCATGCTGTAAATTGGTACACATTATTATCTTTTAAGAAATAGATTTTATAGTAATGACTTAAATTCAAACAGCAACCAAAAGTGCTTAGCACTTTTGAAAAACCCTTTTTCATGTTAAGGAACAAACTTTCACAAAAATGATTTCATTTTTTAAGCTGTTAGATTTTTAAATTTGTTTTCTAGTTTGTCACTGCTTAAATGATTTGTCACTACCACAGAATGTGTTATTAGTATGGAAACAAAGAAATGGAAAAGTCACTGAAAATTGTGGTTCAGGTATAATTACTGAAGTATAACCTTAATGAATTATTGTTTTCTGAAAAAAAGAATATAATGACCTGCAAGTACAGAATAAGTTTAAAAAATGTTATTTCCTTCTGGCCATATGATAAAAATATTTTTCAGAAATACTTGAATTATATAGACTGTGTAGGATATGTTACTATAAGCCAGATGTATGTCACATATTAAGTGATGACTAGGAACAGAAGTGAGAAAAGTATTTGAGTGTAAGGAGAAGAAAAGTTGCAGTTTCCTTCCTTTGTAATGCACAAATAAATATGGAACTAGTATTTAAGGCATCGTGCTGAAGTTTTGAATTTATTTGTAACTAAAACCTTAAAAAACATTCTATAAAAGAAACAGACTCTCAACAAATGTAAAATGTGCCTTTCACTAAATGCTGGTCATATGCTTTATCATAGTAATGTACAAAGCTCTTTACTAATACAATTTGTCAACACTTGATTTTGGGATGGAGCATGGAATAGTTATCATTTTGATAACATTAAAGACATAACATCTATTTAGTCCCATCCATGGAATATTGCTATTGTCTTGCTGTGGTTCTGTTATTTTATATTGGAAGTAAAATTTGTCTATCAAAAAATTCTGAATTCATCCTAATTTAAAGTTTTCTTAAACTAATTCTGAATATTGTTTAGGTTTATCAGTTTGTTTCAAGGAGGATGACACCACCAAATTTTGGGCTTTGTTGATTCACATTTTTAGGATTTCCAAAGTTTTCGTCTCTGCCCCTGTTTTTGAAATAAATGACCTGTTTGAATATTTGGAAAGACAAATTATATCAAAGTAACTTGTTCTGTTGGATTAAGATGTGTTAAAGCAACTGAGTTTACTATAACTTCATTATTTTATTTTTCAACAAGTCATGTTATAAATCTCTCAAAGTTTGTGAATGAGTTGTAAATTCCAAATTAAAAATTTGGATTGACAGCCTGCACATGACATTGTATAAAATAGGGATTTATTTTTGAGCATTTTGTTATGCGTATTCTCAGAAGAGAAAATAAATACATAAATCATTTGGCAAACCCATGAACACTAACTCTCTTTACCTATATACTTATTGAAGTATTGAGGGCATTTTCATACTGTATTATTATGTTAGTCAGTAGGATATTAGTTATAGAAACCTCTATCTTCAGCTTTCCTGATTTTCACATGTAAGGTTGAGGGTATTTTGTTTCATTACCGTACAAAAGTTTTAGATGTAAAATCTAGAACTTGTTACAGGGAAAATATTTTAGACCAAAACCCTTGTCTTACTTTTTTTCAAATAATGGTACTTCTGGTCTCTAACTCATCTATAACCTTAGATTATGTGCATTTACCCCCCACCTTATGACTGTTTCGTTTTTGATATAACAGTAACATTACTGTGAATAAGATTGATTTTACAGTGCAACAGAGTTTATGTGTATTTGAGATAGGAGGAGGTGTTCTGATATGTAACAGTTCACTTAGAAATGTTTTGAAATCATTTATCTTTATTCAAAATCAACAGTGTAATGTCTGTTTTCTCCCTTGTCTTTAGTGCAAAGTCTTGACTTCAGTTTTGACCTTACATAACAAGTGTTGTTTTATTCACTTTAGACTGATTTGATTCTTATATCTTTCTCCAACTAGAGCTTTAGGTTTTATTTTACAAGGTGTGCAAAATAGTGTAAATTTGTTCATTAAAATTAAACAAAATAAGCTTAATGTAACTGATAATATACGAAACTCTTTAAGCATATACGCCGAGCATAAGTTACAAAACAAGGATGGGCAACATCATAATTAAATCTTCACATTAAAATATAAATTCAACCAAATAGCATATCTGAAAGTAATTGAAATTAAGATCATTTCAAAACTTTAAAACAAAAGATGTATACAAAGAAATTTTTAGTTTTTACACTTCATACTCTCAAAAATTGCTCTTCCCTTCAAGGACAAAAGGAGGTATATTGGTACCAATAGTTTACTTACTTGTAATAACTAAAATCAAAACTATCAGTGGTCTCTCAGCTCAGCTTCCGTATTGGGATTTAGGTCTTTTAAAGATCTGGGAGGCGTGAGGTTTATGTGACCTCTTCCTCCCTCATGTACAGTGGTTAAGATTGCTGATGGATGTGAATATTGATACGACATGAGGGTCAGAGTAAACCGCACTTACGAGTTTTTCGGTCTAGTATTAGGCGGCCTTATTAAATTCATATTTCTAAAATATATGTTAATAGGCGAGAGGTACTTAGGTCTACTTCCTGTATGTAGTAGCGATCAACTTCACAAAGCAGGTCGTTCTTTGGCCAATTTTTCTCAAAGTAATTTAGAGAATTATGCAAGAGTCTTTTCGGCGATGGTTTGTGTACTGGTGCATAAATTTTGATGAGTTGCTACGGGGAACTTTAAATGCTGTAGAAATTAGAGAGTTTTGTATAGATTGTAGTTTATTTATATGTTTGGGTGCAATGTTTATCCATGCTGGACATGGCTATTCAATGATATGTATGTTTTATGATATTGCCTGATGAGGTTCCATGGTTTTTGCCGATTAGACGTCTTGCATAATTTGTGCGTTTCCAAATTTTTGTTAATATATTATTTGTATGTTTAACCCACGTTAACTTAGAGTCGAAGGTTAAACCTAGAATTTTGCCTAGGTTGTGGTCTGGAGAAGTGTTCCATTCATATATAGTTTTGGTGGATCATTTTTGTGTTTTGTGAAAGTTAGTAATTGGTTTTGGGGAACATTTATTTTTATGCTATATTTTTGGTCGTATTCTTCCATATTATTTAATAGTCTTTGGAGATTTGTTGCTGCTATAGATGGAGCACTTTTCCGGGCTGCAACATCATCCGCGAATTGTGATGAAAACCCAAGATTTAGGTCTTTTAGGAGCATATTTCTCACATGCATATTGAATAGAATAGGGTTAACTACCCCTCCTTGAGGGACTCCAACCTCTGGAGTAAAAGTCTCTGAGAAGGTTCCCTTAACATTTGTTTTACAACTTCTATTTTCCCAAAAGTTATATACCTATCGAATAATTCCTCGCGGCAGTTCCATTTCTTTCATGCGGAACCTAAGATCATTGTGCCATACAGTGTCGAAAGCTTTCTAGACATCGCGAAAACAGTGCATTAATATTTATTAAAACTGTTTATAATTATTTCTGTTAAACTGACTAAGTGGTCAGTTGTCTGTCTGAATTTTCTAAATCCATTTTTGATTTCTGGTAATTTTGAAGTTGCCTCTAGATAATTTGAAAGTCTATTGCTTATCATTCTTTCAATAATGTTTCCTGCAGACGGTAGTTGGTTGGTTTATTTGCTGGCTTTCCTTCTTTGTGGAACAAACGTATAATCGCTTGCTTCCAAGAAACCGGGATGTATCCAGAACTTAGAGTTAGGTTAAAGAGTGCTGTTAGGTGTTCATACAATTTCTGATTGCCTTTTTTAAGGAGGACAGTCTTCTCTTTGTTTTTAGTTTAACTGTTTTTGTAAGCTGATGTGTGATCAAGTTTTCCTTTACATTGTTATTTGTTAATATATTTTGTGTGCTAGCGGGGAATATTGGTGTGTACGTGATTTTGTTTTGTGTTACAAAGTTACTGACTTTATTGAAAAAGTGTGCATTCACATGTGGTTCCTGGTGTGCTTTAAACGTGTGTAGAAATTGTTCTTTATACGCCTCCGCCTTTTCTGTGTTTGTATACGTTATTTTATTTTGTGTTTCTAAGGGTGGATAGTTACTGTTTGGGTTTCCTGTGTTTGTAAATCGTTTTAAGTGTGTCCAGAACTGTTTTGAGTTTGTTTTGCCATTCAGTTGGGAGCAGAATTTAACCCAGCTGTCTTGTTTTAGTTCTTAGACTTCATTTCTTATTTTGTTTCTTGTGTGTTTTGAGTGTGGGGTCTCTACTTTGTATGAATTGTCTACATGGTTTCCTTCTTTCGTTTATCATATATAATATTTGTGTGTGTGGTTGTCATGTTTGTGGTGTTCTTAGTTGTTTATGTTTTGGTATAGTTTGCCTAGTTGATGTGATTGTATGGTAATAATCATCTATTTCTGATGCATCCGCGGCGGCCCGGCATGGCCAGGTGGTTAGGGCGCTCGAATAGCAATCTGAGGGTCGCGGTTTCGATTGCTCGTCCTTTCAGCCGTGTGGGCGTAATAATGTGACGGTCAATTCCACCATTCGTTGGTAAAAGAGTAGCCCATGAATTGGCGGTGGGTGGTGATGACTCGCCGCCTTTCCTCTAGTCTTACACTGCTAAATTAGGGACGACTAACGCAGATAGCTCTCGTGTAGCTTTGCGCAAAATTCAAAAACAAACAAAGCATCGGCGGCGTTGTTTATTATTTCTTTTGGTAATATTTTATCAAGGATTGGTTGATATTCAACCCAGTTAGCTTTATTATAACTGAATTTTTATGTTTCTATTGATTTATTAGTATGGGGGTGAGATTGAAAATATACCAGACAGGTAAATGATCACTGTCAATATCCTGTCCAACTTTAAAATTTACAGATTTTCGACTCGTACGAACACGGGTATAGATCCAGTATATCACTGGTGCCATGCGCGTAAGAGATATGTGTCGGGGTGGCATCATTTAATGTTACTGTACTTGTGTCTAGTAAGTACTTGTAAAATATTCTACTATTTGCATTTAGCGAATTA